TCATGCCTGCAGTTGCAATATGTATTAGTCTAGGATGCTTGGTGGGTTAGTGGTTTTTAAATTTGCTGGTGTTGTTCTGACTTTGCTCTATAATAAAATATAAAATATAAAATATAATATATAATATTTCATGTGGCCTTCACTGGAGTATAAATTCTGCCTGTCATGAGCAGATACATGCTGTTTAGGGGAGAGTACTGCAGTGTAGGTTATCTTATGTGAAGCATGCATTGCTGTTGATGTATACATGGTCTTACATCTTGTATTGTATTGTAGCTTTGGATTTGGTAGGATGACTGTACTGCTGCTGTTATAGGCTGATGTCAAAACTTTGTGGTCACCCGTGTAAAATAAATAGCCCATTTAAAAACTTCTGGTGCTAGGGCTTATTACACAGACACATTGTGCTATTTGTTACTTCTCCTGTTGGGGATGGTGGTGTTTGGATGATTTCAGTCTACAGATCATATGAAACATTCGTTCCACATTCAAAACATTCCATTCGACATGAAAGAACAACAAAAGAAAGAAAAAAGGCAACACCCTGCTACACAACACTGACATAACCGTGCCTTAAACATGTCATGGCAGATGCCATAATCTATCATGACAATTACTGATGGCATATGTCCAGTAATATGACAGTTATTTTACCATTACAGTTAACTGCCATGATAGATGCCATAATTTTTGATGATAATAGATGCCATAATTTTTGATGTCATAATCACTACCTATAGTACACTTAGTAAAAATGATGTGACAGAAGCTCTCATGGCATCAAACATTATGGCATTTGCCATGACATTTACTGGCCCTGTTTTACATGACACTTGTATTACTGAGTAAAATCTGTCTTGAAAACTTAACAATATTTGCCATGACATTTTTATAACATGGTTATGTCAACGTTATGGAGCAGGATTCAAGTGTTACCAAAACACTCATATACAACTATACAGCTCATTTACCACCAAAATTGTATATCTATATAGGAAGAAAAAGATTGGTTGGATGTTAATATATGAAGATCACAGATCGCAATCAACATTTTGGAAAGTATTTACTTAATTAGCTTAACCTCTTAATAAGCCATGCCTCAAAGTTTTATTACACACTTTTATAACCTAATAATAGCTCTATTAATTTGGTTGACATCCCTGTAGCAACTGAATAATAAACCTTAGAAACCTATATAATAAGCCTGGATTGTTAAGGGGTTAATGATCACAATACATTTCTGTTGATTATTACAAAAAAGTAAAGCCTTAATTACATAAATATTGATCTAGCAGGCCCTCATTTCAATTGAATTTCAAGATGGGATACAATCACCCCCATTGCCTTGCTGGTCCAATATAAATTCAGTGGTCATCAACTGCCCATCAAATGTTTTTTGACACCATGGCTTCTTTTGAAGGATTTGCCAAAATAAAACAGCTTTGGTATACCACGATATGTTTTTTACAACTTTCAGATTTATGGTCATCAGGTTGTCCTTGTTGGTATGAAAGTAAATAAGGATTTGGCAGCTTTTATTTGTATTTTTAAAGCACATACTGTTACTATTTTGGTTTAAAGTGAAAGGTTCCAGTGCTGATGAGTGCTGACATCACAACCAGGGATGAAATGCATGGTAGTTAGTATTCCTTCCAAGCTAGCACTATCACTACTAGTAATATTTACCTTCATGATGTTATTTTTTCCCTAAACAAACATAATTAGTGATTATGTGTTACACTAATGCAAGCTGATAAAGAAGATGTGCTCATGACTTAACAAACACTAATGAATTGAATCAAGTGATCAAGTTTAGCTGAATTAAACTGGAGAATATCATGACTGGATATGTCCATCTTTCCCTCAGAGTGAAAATGTTGCTTTTATGTCTCTATATTAAGATCTTTGACTGCTTGAGACTGTACATGCCTTGCTCTACTAAAAGTATAGCCAAATGTTAAAGATAGGGGTGTGGGAAAAAAAATGATTCTTAGATGCATCGCGATGCGGACGTGAACAATTCTGAATCGATTCACAAATGTCAAAAATCGATTTTCCAAATATTTAATTTATAACGTAATTTTGATGGAACGCACATGGCGGAACTTGGAAGTGGGTAAGTGCAGCGCCTGGACAGTCTGTGATGCCACACAACAAAAACACTACTGGATGAGCGAGAAATCTGACCGGCTCCCTCTGCATTAAAGCCAGGTTAGGTCAGGAGTTGCAACCCAAATGTTCAGAAGAGCCATTTTGTCCTTTCAACAAAAATCAAACCATAACCATAATGTCCTAGTATATGTCCTAGCAGTTTCTTGTAAAATGTCTTGGCTGTCTTATGAGGCTGAAGTTGCTTCTTATTCTCCAGCTTCGTGTTTTAATTTTCCCGTTGCATCTTAAATTCTGACTGAGGTGCCAAATGTAAATGCGGCACCATTTAAGGTGGAAAGAGAAAATTCGGAAGAGAAGCGACTTCATCTTTGCGACTTTTTACTGTTCGTCAGTCTCTCGTTGCAGATTTAACTGGCCAGGAAAACCAACTGCGCTGCTTATAAATGCGAATAACGCATCGTTACTATGTGACCTGCAGTCCGCACGGCAATTCTCAGTCATTGCGAAACAGGGCTTTCGCGTTATGCTGCACACGTCCCGTCTCAGGGATATTTTACTGACACAGCGACCCCACCCCCCCCCACCCCCTTCTCTACAACGAGACCAAAACCAAAGTTATAAAGTCACTAAAAACGGGTAGCACGGCTGTAACGCGCTGCATGGACATCCACTGCCACTGGATCTTATTTCACCGTAACTGCGCATTTTATCGCAGATGAGTGGCAGCAGCGTCTCATGTGCTCCAAAGGCAGTGAATGAGAGCCTTCCAGTTCACTTGCCACATCATTTCCATTTGATTTATTAATAAAAGATATTGGAAGTAAATTCATTATGGATCATTACTAATACTTTGCTTTAAAACTACCAAGGCCTCACACAGTGAGAAAATAGAAATGATGTATAGAAAAAAAAAAAAGGCATCAAGATGCATCGATAATCATTTTATAATCACATCGCAGCCCTCTGAATCGTAATCGAATCGAATCGTGAGGTGCCTAGAGATTCCCACCCCTAGTTAAAGATATAGGAGGAGGCTGACTAAACGTGCTCACCAGTTTCCCTGTCCTTACCTTCCATCCTGCAGAGCTCCTGAATAATGGACCGTACCATACGGAGCCTCTCAGGCTAGTACAGCTGGGTGAATTTCTGATCTTCTGGGTGTATCTCTGAAGGTTAGCCATGTGAAGAAAATCTTCATACAGAATTCATTAGTCTGTTAAATGAGATTTAACACTGATGCACAAGGATGGGCTTCATCTATGTAGAAGCACTCATGCCTTATTGAAGACAAAGAGCAGCCTTGTGGATTAAATGCCAGAAGCAAACAAAGAGGTTTAGAGAGGTTTGTTGGATTTCGCTAAGCAAACATGAAATCATCTTTCAAATGAACACTTCAGTGGAATTTAGTGTATTATCTTGGGCACAGACTGTAACAATTTTTGATAATGCTTTATTTGAAGGCAAACCTACATAGGGACTGCATAACATATGAATAAACAATGAATAATGTATTAATAAAACGACACTTGTACAGTTATTAACAGCTTATGCCAGCTATCATAAAATGAAGCAAATTAGATTGTATTGACACTAAGGGCCTTAAATAAAGTGACATTTGTTCCATTTATAACACTGTTATAAAGCATTATTCACAAGAAATGGAACTTATAAAGCAGTTGACGATATAAATGTTGTTTTCCTCCATGAAATATCTCATCACCATCATACAGGCCTATGTAGAAAAATGTTTTTGCACATATTTATTCATTGTTATTGTTATTACTATATTTGAAGGTAGGAACCTCCCAGGGCCAAATAATGCATCAAAAAGGCTTTTATCTGTTCATGATGTTCATTCTTTCTAAATATGAATTCTTAAATGATTAGAATAGCCAATTATTTGATTTTTATTGTTTTCTAAATAATAAAATATTTGCTATATTCAAATTGTTTTATACATGTACTAGCTAGTGTCTCCAGATGTAATGATGTTGTACTGTGTCATGGGTCTGACTTGACCCCCAGGCCTTGTGTTTAACACAAGGGGTGTAAAGGAACTTTACACCCGTTGTGTTAAACACAAGGCCTGGGGATCAAGTCAGACCCGTGACAGTCCTATTCAGCCCAATTTTTTTTTTTTTATTTTCTGTTCTTAGTATCCTGTTTCACCCTGAGATGCGCTACAACACAGTGTGCATTCTGACCCCCTCCCCCAACAACAATCTATGGGCTAGTTATAACACAAAATGAAAAGATGCCTGGTTTCTAGTTCAAGCAAATAGGCAAGTATTTAATGCCTATTTCGCTGTTGCAGTTTTGGCATATTTTGAAAACCGTGGCCCGTTTGGGTCATGGCAAAAGATTAAGTAAAAATGATATAAAAACACAGCTGACCCACAGATTTACTGAGATTTTTTAATATGGCCCTTTTAGTGGTTGAGTTTGACACCTCTACTTTACACACTAGAGCTAATTTGACCTAAGAGTGATTTGCTAACGATGTTTATTCTCTCTAAATACACTCCTTTACAAATAGCACAACAGGTGATCCTTTGGAGCCTTCAGTGCAGTGCAAACACCAGTTTACCCTCCACTTTCCAATGTAGTTCTTTAAAGTCAGGTCTCATTATGTCAAATAATGAAGGCATAATGAGACCACTGGAGTGGAGATAATTCCTTTGAAAAGAAGCGAGTGCTAATCATTAAATTTCATCACAGCGTTCTGCGCACATTATGGGAAAACTAAAAAAAAACACACACACACACACACACACAATTGTGGAGTTTAGATCTAAATGGTTTCACCTTATCAGTTTCCATTGATTATTCCTTTCGAAATCTTTCTGAAAACAGATTAGGCCAAGAAATGAAGGAGAATCCTTGGACAATTTTTCAAAGTTATAGGCTTTATTTAACTGGTAAAATGTCAAGCATGATTTCTCTACATAAATAACAAGCACACGAGTCAACATACATGGCTACATGGGTCGGATGTGACATCAAAATGTACTCATTCATTTTGTGGAACAAAGAACAGTGCAGTCGTTTTTCGCTTAGAAAAAGGAGGGGGTGCCGAACTCAACTAGCTAAAGCTTTAGACGATTTGGGGAAACCTACACCCTTCTGCTATGTACAGAACACAAACAAAGTCACAGCGGGTGTACAATGAAATCAGAGTTCAAAAAAATGGTTCTCCAGTAGTCTTCAAAAGCAAATATACAAAAACTGAAACGTAACCACGTTGAAAAGAGTCCAATTACTGAAGCAGATGAGGAATTAAACCAAACCATGTGACGAAAGCTCAAATCCAAGCACTTGGTTTGAGTGTCAGTGAAAATGCATAGACTCTGGCCATCGAGGAGAAGATTCGACGCAACGTGCACACGTATTTGTGCTTCCAATTACGCTAAGAAGGTTCCTCTGCCCATGCTGCTGACCTCATGTAGCATTGTGACTCATGTCTGGACCTGTCAAATTAAAGATCTCCGGTTATATAAACCTTGCGATGTACAAAGCTTGTCTAACACCACACCACACCAAGAAACACACTGTATGATTTACTGAAAGCCAGCCCTCAAGCCCCAGTATGCACAATAGCTATGTCACACACTCAGCCTGACCCTAAACTCATCAAAGCCATTACATTCCAGTGTTAAGTTACCATTTATCTCCTCTATGAGCATGTAGTGTAGAATAAATGATCTGCCTGCCTAACCATTACATTTTTCACGTTTTTTTGACTCGTCGTAAATCCAAAATTTATGCATCCCTATCGTTTACAAACCTTAATGAGAGATTTAAAGTTGCCATGCTGACTTTTACAATGGTCTCCACTTCAAACGAGGACAATCTCAGAGCGAGGGGCCTTTTTAATTAGCTAAAATTGCTGAGGGTTGGTGGAATTTCAAATGTACAAACAGGTGGAATTTAAGTGTTGCTGTCTTTTTCTCACCCTACTCGGAAAGGTCATGGAGGGTGTTATCCACAGTCGCAGAGGGAATAATTAATTTTATTTTTCCTATTTCTCTGTTTGAGTGAGTGTTCCTTCAAGGCACAGGAAAAACTGTGGGCCCAAACGCGCATGTGAATGTAATAAAGGACTGGGGGCATGGGGCAGAGAAAAAGTATTAAACCCAAATTATTAGAATAGCCATCATATATTTGATGTCAGTTTTTTTTGAATATCATAGCAAATTTGCTATATTCAAATTGGGATCTACATGTATTACCTTGTGTCTCCAGACGGAATGACGTTGTACTAAATCCCTTTAGACACTAGGGCTAATTTGACCTAACAGTGGAGTGACTAATAGTTAGCTATTTCACTTTGAAACCTATCCAGTGCATACAAAAACGAGCATATCCCACTCTACCCCACTCTACTTTTGAATAAAGTTCCCTTGATACAGTGGTTTTAGAACAGTCAATTTTGGTATTTTTTTTCAGGATCACTTGAGATTCCTCTCAATAAATTATACACAGACCAAATTCAGTGCAATTGTACTTGTTTGTTTTTCCATGAATCTTCTTTTTTGGAGCCCTAGGCCTCACCCACCCACACTACAGTATTCCCCATGGGTACGTCAGTGATTTCACAGTTGAGCTTGTCCAGGCGTCCATCCAGGATGAACAGGGAACTCTGAGAAGGAGTCATGAGGTACTGTCCGAAAAGGCCGCTCCCGGTCATCACACGGTTTTGCCGGTTCCAGCGCCACTGTGCAGCCGGCGTGGGCTGTTTGAGGCTCTTGATCATTTTGACGTTGCCGGTGCTGAGCTCCACATACAGGGCGTCTGTCTGGTGGCCCGAGCTGCCGAACACATTGTACTGGTTGACCTCGGTGAAGGAGGGCATGAAGGCCAGGTCAGAGAGGTGCAGGTTGGTATGGATGTCGAAAGGTTGCCCAATTTGGCCTCGGACAGAAATGGGCTGGAGACGCATCAGACCATCCCGATCATCTATGCTCACAAGGTAATGTCCATCAGGGGACACGTAGGGTGTGCCACTCACGTCCCCATTAGGGCCAATCACACCATCTGTCACGCTGTCCAGGATCAGCTGGGGGCGCAGAGCACCTGTTGAGTCTGGTCTGCAGTTGATGAAATAGTAGCCGCCCAGGTGAGTGTAGGCCAGCGACTGCGGGATACAGTCGTACTCCCGCAAACTGATGTTCTTGACGTAAGACGTGGTCTCCAGGTCAATCTTGTGCAGGGCCGGCTCATTCTTATGGAGGATGATTCCAAACCTACAATTGAGAAGACAATCAATTGTAAACATCAATCCATGATACTCCTACACGCTTCCTACTCTGTTGCAGTCATTTAAAGTTCACTCTTAAAATTAAAGGGTCCTAAATGCTTCTTCTCTTGAATGTATGGGTCTAGAAAAACTTTTTAATATGACCATCACATGGTACTTCTCTTGGTTCAACTGTGATATTGCTCAAAGAACCCCTGGCCAGAGTGTGGGAGGAGGTTTTTTAAACTTTAAAAAGGTTCCTCAGGGTCGCAAATCTAACATACAAAAAATGGTTTAAAACCATCCATAAAATAGCAGTGTATTAACAGTAGTACAAACCATTGTAAATCCAACTAAATATCCAAGAAAATCAGCTTTAACTTCTGTCAGAACTGGATAAAACTCTGTGGAAGACCTGCTCCCACAGAGACAGAAATCTGCCCTCAGGCTTAGTGGACTGCAGTACCCCTTCCACTAGCTGGCTCTATAACTCTGGCCGGTTCCAGAGTGAGACATACTGATCGGATCACAAGCTGAGACAAACCAGGCTTAATGAAGGAGGTCTAAACCTGCAGGTGGAAAGAGAAGCTGAACACTTGAGAGTTTTACTTCCACATCTTCAGGCACCTCACAGGCAGAAAAATCTTAGCCGGCAAGTGCCCAGCTCTGTAATGGACTTCTATTCACATCTCAATCATGCACATGCATTACATGGGAAAAATTCAAAGAAGCCAACCACTGACCATTAGTTATCTCTTAGAAAAAGATGAAGAAGACAGAGAGAAAACTTTAGAAGAGGAAATGTCAGCGTCCGACAAGCCTCAATTAATCTAACTGCCCGCTGATCAATTCTGCCATGCACTTCAAACACACTGTCATTCAGCTGCTTTTCGGCACTTTAGACTGTGGCTGCTGACTGGGTCAGGCTGCTACGTGACATTTGCTTCAGACTGATGGGCACATTATCATTTGCAATGATGAGCTGCATTGATTGGCTGATGCTGAGGTCCATTAGTGGTTTAGGCCAGGATTTTTCTGTCTGTTCGGCTCAGCAGGTTGAGTGTTAGAATTCTGTTTGGTATCCATTACTTTAAAAAAAAAAAAAGTCAGCTATAAAGTGAGCGTAGTGCACTAAAGTGAAGCTGGGTTTTCAAGGAACATGGAATGCCTAGTGATTTTGAAACTCTTTCTCATATAAACTTAAATATGGACCACAGGGACTGATGCTGCCACCATCCATAGCTTATAGTAACCATACAATCGACACTGTATGTTATTTTTGAGTAACTATAAGTAACTATTCATATGATGAGTGATTTGAAACTATTGTTTGTTCCTCTTATGGTTCATACAGCACATACATGAAACTATGCTGCCAAATTACTTGTTTAGCCATTCAGCCTAGGCAGTTCATATGGAAGTTATAAAGATTGTTGTTACTGCAGCCAGTCAGTAAGGTAAACATTGTGCTGTTCATGGCTCTGAGCAAGCAAATGGATTGCAAAAGTATGCAGATATCCAAAAAAGGTTGCAAAAGTTTATTTATTATGACAACCTTGAGGATTTTTGCCCAAACTTGACAGTTTGTTCTGGTCCTTTGAGTCTAAAAAAGCTTGAGTGAGGTATAATACAGAGTTATTTCTGAGCTATTTGGGGAAATTACAGAGATCTCTTACAGAGATCAGAGATTATCTGTATGAATTGGCCAGTAAAATCATACCATTATCACTTAACCAGACCACCTCTGGTTAAACTAACCAAGCTTCAACAGAGCTTTAAACAACAAAAACATAAACAGTCTATTTAATTCTAAAGCAAGAAGAATTATGACTGTTTATAGGTAACAAATAGGTAACATTTAATTAATACACTACTATATAACACAGGCATAACCACGTCATAAACATGCTATGATAGATTATGTCCAGTAATGTATCCATGTCATGTTACCATTACCGGTAATTGTTGTGGCAGATGATGTTATGTTTGAAGCTATGTTGGCAAACTAGAGCACACTAGTATGTGACACAAGCTGTCATGACATCTTTCATGTCACTTGTCACTAATGGTAACACGAAATCTATCACCTGATGACACGTCTTATCTCTTATGATGTTATGTAGCAGGATTTAAGTGAAGTGCTACCTACAAAAGTAGAATATAGATCTCTGAAATCCCTCAAACAGCCAATGACATAGTAAGATTTCAGGATTTTTCTCCAACTCCAAAGTCCATGTCTTGATAGCCCCAAGTAGAAGTGTTCCACAGTGTTGAGCTAGGGTAGCCTATATAGGATATGCCTCTTATGCTGAGATCCCTTTTGATTATTCTTTTCTCTGGAGCAATCCCTCTGGCTAACAGCAATCACAGAATCATCTCAATCTCTGCTGCAATGTAGCAAGCACTCAACAAGGCTCAATCATGCATCCTAGCCTAGCACTATCCCAGGAGCTTTAAAAGCAGTGCGCTGCACGGAGGTGTCCACATAAGTTGGATAACTGAGGATAACTGAGGTTTCTTCTGCCAGCTGCCTATAGTTCAGGTAGCAGACGAGATGGTATTAAATGCCTATAGCTCCTCTGGCAGAAGTGATAAGGCCTGTTTTTTTGCAGCTCTATAAAGTCCACCGACATAAGGTATAATAAAGAATAGCACCAGCTCTATATAAAAGAGCCCAAAGCTAGCTGGACTGTTTTTGTACCTTTGTGTATATTTTATGACTTGCTGTGGGTTTGTTGTTTTATACGGTCCCACTGTAGAGCAATTAATGGAAGTGACTTCCTCTCCCAAATCAATGCTGAGCTCCACGCTCAGAGGGCTCTTCCTAAATGCAAACCAAATAAAGGCCGGTTTCAGGCCTCTGTTTAAATAGCTTGATTCAACAAACACTTTAGCCTTCATCTAGTACATGAAAACACTGCTGTAAAACTAAATTGAGAGAAACCTAAAAAGAAAAAAACTAAAAAAACAATAAAAAAAAAACCACAGGGCCTGCAGCACGGCTAATAAATGAGATTGCCACTCACAAGTTTATTGATAAAAGCATGACAGGAGCTCAATGAACTTAATGAATGAGAGTTCTGCAGGCTGTTATTTTCTGCAGTTATTAGCGAGAAGGTCTGGAGACGCTGAAAAAATTTGGCAAGCTGCCTGAACCTGCAGCACCCTTTTTCACAGATCTCCAAATAAATGAATAAAAAAGACCCTGTATAAAACATGAAATGGATTACATCTACAATGCATGGCTTACATCGTCGTACATCACAGAGACATTCTGAATACGACGTCTATGTGGGTCCTTATTAGGTACGTTGTTAAAGGCTGAAACTGGAACTATGTGAACAAAGAAATTGTGCAGTCCTGCTAATTTATCTACTGCTTTGCTGTCATTGCAGCTTATAACTACTCTATATTTCCAAACATTTGTAAACACCTGCTGAAATCAAGGGTATTAATAGGGAATTTCCCCTTTGGGGAAGACTTTACAAAACTACATATTGGAACATTGCTGTGAGAATTTGAATGCATTCATCCACAAGAGCATTAGTGAGGTCAGGTACTGATGTTGTATGAACAGTTCTGGATCACAAACACCATAAAGGTATGGGATGGAGCTCCATCGCTTCAGAGTTACCACTGCTCCACAGCCCAATTCTGGGGGATTCTGTACCACTGGCATTGGGCATGGGGACCTTTGACTCATGTGTGACCACTCGAGAGCATCCCATTCTATTAATCAGTGTCCTTCTATGGAGATTATAAGCTGTATGTGAGCAGTTGAACACCAGGAGTAAATGTTTCTGTGGAAGTTATGTGCAAATAATTTGTAATATCTTTGGAAAATCTTTTATGTTTTAAAGACATTCTTTTTAGAATAGAATTGATTGCAACATTTTGACAGCTATGTGAGTTCATATGACTGCTGTAGTTTCAGAATGGGCAATCAGCTGGATGCTTATTAGATTCTTACACTGTATTAATGAGTCTATTCACTAAAGGTATTAACCTGTGATAATAGTAATGACAGTACTGTTTTATTTATTCCAGTCAAAGCAGCATTTAAATGCAAGTCATTCATTTTTTTCAGCATCAGAAAAAGGCAAAAAAAAAACACATTTATCAGAAAATTACACAGAAGCCTCAACTACTAAATATGATATCAAATTTCAGCATTTGGTGTGCTCTGCATCCCTATATTACAGGTTCCATTCTTCTCAGAATACTTGTGTTCAGGTTTTCAAAGAATTCAGCAGGGATATTTTTCCACACCTCCAAAGTTCCGAAGTTGGTTGTACTTTCTGCTTCTCACAATCCAAGTAATCCCAAATACATTCAGAGAAGTTGAGGTCTGGACTCTGGGGTGGTCAGTCCATTGTTGTAAGAACAACAGCAGCTTCTTGTCTATTTTCATTTTCTCAGTGAGGTTCTTCTTGACAGCTACACATCTTTTCAGACCCTTAGCGCTGAGTTGACTTCTCACAGTGGAAGGATGGACAGAAACACATCTAGATTGTTTCTGATCTGAAGCAAGAGTAGGGCTTGCTCCTCACTCTTAAAAATAAAAGCTTTAAGTACTGTTTATCTGGTGGTTCCAGGTTTGGTGGTGGGCTAGTGGATTATCTTACATCTAACCCCCACAGAAACATCTGAAAAATGAATAACTTTTACTTAATTGTCATTTTGAGTGGAAATTAAATAAATGGTTCATGTTTTTTGACTTTTTCACAGTGCTGTGTTACAGAAAATCCAGAGAAATTATTAGAATGCAAACAATTAGTGTGACTGCCACAAGCATTGTTTATAACACAGACATTTTATAAAGAAAGATGCAGTCAAATGTATATGATAATCTGTTGTACCTACAGAACCACTCATTTCCACTTTTCTCTTGTTTACTCAAATTGCCTGCACTGGATTTCATTGCATATCAAAGCTTGAATGCATCTTCTCAGGCTGATGTCATGTCCTTAATCTAACCTGCTGTCCAGCACAGAATGCCAGACTGCAGTGACCCCTCTCTTGCATTGCGTTGCCCTCATTTAACATACTGCTGACCTGTAGCACTGAGACATATTAAACCACCAAGGGGGGTCATGGAGAGGAGAGCGCTTTTAAATGTCATCACATTCTAGAGGTGCAAAGCTACAGTGGAGCGAGACTAAGGCTTCTGGTCCAATCTGGAAATACAATTCACAGTTCTATTTAAGAAACTGCTTAAGGCATTACATCGTCTATTTTTGTGAGGTGATATCAGTGGGAGAACATAAGCAGAGCAACCTGATCCGTGAAGAATCCGCAAGAACCATTAATAGCTTTTCAGGTGCGTTCGGCTTGTGTTTTTATGAATCTGCGAGTATGACATTGGAATAGAACTGGGCTATGGCCTATGATAGGGCTCTTGCAATATACATGTTCTCAATTGAAGACCCCCAATCTGTCAGCATTTTAACAGCCACGTGCAACGACTAAGCACTTGATATTACAACAAAATTAATTTTGATGCCAAAATCTGACACAGTATACAAAATCAATCGAGAAGGGCATTGGCTCCATGCCAAAAACTACATGCCAATAACTGTACTTTATATCACTGGTCCAATTTAACTTGATGCTCAACAGGCCACCTTTGCTTCAACTGGCTTAGTCTGAACAGATTTTAATTGGCCATTAGTCATCAAGGAATCGATTTTGATCTTCAGTGTTTGCTGAGTCAGGCATATGAGATTGATATAAATTAAACATGGTGGAACTGGTGATTTGGAAATAATTAACTCACATCAAGTACAAAAGTATCTTAAATCTTATAATAAGTAATAAAAACATTCAAGAAAAGGCCTTACACATGTGCTTAGCACTGGGCAGTATACTGGTCAGGGCTGGGTTTAGTGATTCTGAGGCCCAAGATGGAATACAGAAATGTGTCCCACTAGATTCTCATTGAAATTAGTAGTCAAGCTCTGGGCTCCTGACTGGTGCAACTATCTACACTCCAAGAAATACTACCCTGGCAAGTGAAATAATCTTAAATCTAGTCGATATCTCTAATATTTCTCAGTCTGACATTGTTGTCGGAATATTATAAGATTATGTAACTTATTTCTACACATTTTACACACAAGTTTTACTCAAATTTTACTTAATTTCTTAAAATCCCAGAATTAATACATGCTAAGGCTTATTATTCAGTAACTACTAAGACTTCTATACAAACTGAGATATTCTTGGGTTATAGAAATGTGTATTAAATATTTGGGCCTACCACTGGTATATGGCCATTTGAGAGGTTAAATTGTATGGAGTGATTTAGTTAATTGAAATTATTGATGATTTCCTTTCTCAACACCTAGAGGATCACACTGCAGGACCTCGTCCATAATGTAGATTATTGCTTAATTGCCTTATTCATACCAGTCTTCAAGCAGTTGTGTCACCATGTAACAACATAGAACAGTCAATTAAAATTATACCAGGGGGTGGGGCTGAATTGAAAATACTAAAAATAATCGCTACATTTGCAAATATCAGAATGGGTTATTAAACATTAGTAAATTCATGGGGGCCCTAGTCAGCTGCCTACTGTTGCCTAGTGCAAAGACCACCCCTGCATCTGGCCTACCAGTTCAAATTCTCCATAAGGTATGAGTTTTTCTTACACCAGTATGACACAAATATGTATATGAACAATGCAACATGCTAAGGTTAACCCGTTTAGCTAAATGGCTAATGGCTAAGTGGTGCACTGAACAGAAAATGCACTTTCAAATTGCAAAGTGTTTGCAAATGAATAAAATACATTGCATGAAAACAATTATTGCTAAAATAAGTAAACTTAGAAAGAAAGCAACAGCGTTGATGTGATATATTTTGTTTGTGTGCAACCACTCGACACATTTGAATCATGAACCTTTTTTTTTCAGTGTGTTAGGAATGTTTCCATCAAAAAAAAACCTTTCAGTCATGAAACCATGAATTTCTTGTAATACTTACAAAATAATATCAGTATCTGATGGCCAAAGATACATGAGTGCATGCGATGCATTTGTGGGACAAATTATTTGAAAAAATTTACACATAAAACATTTAATCCTGGACCCAGAAAAGCAGCTGTGTATTTACACTTAAATATGTCTTTTATATGGCAAACTATTTTAGCTTTGTATTCCTTTTTTCTTGATGTCAGGAATTCAATTTACAAGTTAATTTCCACTCAGAAACTGAATTTTTGATAGTAAGAATTAAATTCTTCATATCAAAGATTACATTTTCACTGGTAAAAATGCAATTGTTGATATTAAGAATTACATTTTTACTAGTAAAAATGGAATTCTTGATATCAAGAATTAAATTTCTACATGTGAAAATTCATTTTTTACGAGTAAATTGAATTCCTGATATCAAGAAAAAAGGATTAAAAGCTAAAACAGCTTGCCATGCTCTTATTAAAAGGAAAAAAAAAATACATCCCAGAATAAAAAGCCAATGTCAACCTACAAATATGTTGGCTTACACTCTATTCTAAACTACACTATATCATAAAAATGTCAGAACTTTTAATTATACCATGATATACATTTTTGGCCATACTGCACAATACTACATTTGCTTCACTCAATGTAGTAAAAAACTCAACTACAGCAAATCTAACATTTAATCATCTAAACATGTCTTTTGCTTGGTTCTTAGTGATGTACAGTAAGACTGTATACTTGTAAAAAACTCTCAAGTCCTCAATAAAAAACTTTTGCAATTTTTCGCCAGTTTCACCAGGAATTGACTCATTATTTCAAATTAGCATGGCATGAAATCACAGGCAAATAGCCATCTGTCACCAGAGGAGAAGAAGAGGATCAGAGGTACATGCTCAGTAATCTTCAGCCCGGATTTAATCAAATCAAATGAGATTTTCCTTTCCAGGCAGCTCCTCTTGCGCTGTTTATTCAGGGTTTAATCTCACGACTCTTGTCTCCTCAACTGCTAAAGCTACTCCAGAACGCAAGTGACTGTGAATGCATTATGTGGGATATTAGAGCCTAATGTCAATCCTCCAGCGTGATTTACTCAGCTTGAGCTAGTTTGTCTGGACTTGGCGCATAGACCTGGTGCATAAACAACCGACAACTGTATGTTTATGGGTATTGCTGTGTGATGCTATGGATGTATCATACTGCATTTTAGAACCGTAGATTTTATTCAACAGCTATTCCTACAATCACAGCTACAGAGACTATAGAACAGAGGAAAAAAATGAGGTTTTGTTTAGTATGACATTGTTGTGTACTTGATTTTTACATTCTTAAAAAATAAAGATTCCAAAAGGTTTCTTTGGAGTGATGCCACACTGTGATCCCGGATTTTGTTTTAACTCAAATAAGTTAAGTCTGTTGTACATAAAACTCGGTATATCCCACATATTGCTCAACAATTTTAAGTTAAGGGAATGTTTTGGATAATTTTGTACACTCAAATGGAATTTTTAAGTTAAATTAACTAGTCTGTTGCTATGGCAACTTTGAAACCCCACATTCAAAAAATGACATTTCTGTTGGTTTTAATTGTTTGTTTCCCATTAAAGTTGCTGAATGAATGTGTGAAACTGGGTGAAGATAAGTAAGCTGTAAAATACAGTTACATGTTTGTTTTGTTGACATGATCTTGTTGGATTAAACATATATTTCTTTCCCATTGGCTCCTGGCTCCATCTATTTGCATATTGAGGGTATCTTTCTATTCGTTTTACTCACCGTCAGTGTGCTTTCATTCTACCCAGACTGCCTTTCCTCAGGCCTAATATATATATATATATATATATATATATATATATATATATATATATATACATACGCTTTACTCAGTTACCTGACATTGTGGTGTTGGCTAAGAGTGAAGTTTATCATTCTTTTTGCTGATGAGTGGGCGTTTCTGTTGGTCAGTGACCATGTTCACAGTAAAGGTTAACCCTTTGTTGTTTGGTGCTCAGTATCACTTAATTGGAAAAAAGTTGTCAATTGTCTAATGAAACGTAGTTTAATTGCTGTTTCAAGATGTTAAGTTAAAACAATTAGAATTTATGAGTTGCACAAACATGTGTTCATGTTAGCCTAACACAAAAATGTTAGTTATTCTAACTCAAGTTTTCATTACATATTACTTAATTTTTTTAAGGCAACCGGTTTCCTCAAATTTTTTAAGTAAATTCAACTTATCCGGGCCTACAGTGCATGGAAGAACCACCTTTGGTTCCCTAGGGAATGCTTTCAAAGGTGGACCAATGGTATTTTCTTTGGCAATGCTTCAAATAACCTTTCAGACAGCTTTATTACTACATGTTTTGCTTGTGCTGCTTAACATTTCAGCACAACCAAATTAAAACGCCTTTTGTCATCACTTTTTGGTTGTAAATGGTTCTAGTAGCCAGACTTCACCATAACATTAGAAAGTCTGGTGAGTTTCTTTACTCAATAACCCCTTATTTTAACAGGAAGGGGCCATTTGACCACCACAGACTGTTGTGTATTGTCAGAACAGTGCAACAAAAACAGACTGGGGTGAAACAAAGTGCAATATAATGGCTCAGTGGACATCAGAACATGTCGAAACTCTCAAGTCAAAGACAGGATGCAGTGAATTTCACAAACATTTTTTAAACCAGAGACTACATCTTCATCCAGAAGACTAATTGCTTCCACAATGTAATGCTCTCGCGTTCAATGCATATATATTGCAGTATGGATAGCCAATGAATCTGTTATACATATCTGTGAACATCTTAGCATATAATATACATGTACATTTGTATGCAAGGGCATACCTGATGTGATTGATGGTGAGGCTGGAGGGAGGGATGAAGAAGTCGTCTACCCTGTCGAAGCGACGGCCCACCGGCTGGGTGTGGATGGTGTGGTGGGACGCGCTGCCACTGGCCTGCTTAATCACCTGAGCCGCAGCAAGAGACACACATATTCAAGCATCAAAAAATAATGTGACATGTTTTCATTGGACTGGTAATTCACACTGGCACACCGGCCTTGCTTATGAGAGCTATCATCTCATCTCTCACACTGATCAGCCTGCACTGGGGACATTGCTGCTTACAGGTTTATTTGGGGCAGTAATTTGAAAGGTACTTCCACAGGGACTCCCTGCTATGCTGATTCAATCATGTTACATCATTTGCGGATGGCCTGAAAATGTCAGTAAAAATCATTAAGGGAATGGAAGAGGGGGAGGAGGAGGTTGGGAGTGTTCTTCCACTTGTGTCAAGAGCAGTCTTTAACAAGGTGTGATATACACTCAGGAGATGCTGAGTGACAGATTTGAGAGCTGGGAGTAAACCTGGGGATTAGCACATTCTTAAACTTGATTTGTAACATTAAGAGGAGGAGGAGGTGGGAGAGGTAATCTTCTACATCCACTGTTCTCAAACTCAGCTATGCCTGCCCCCTGGGGTATGTCCAGTGACGCTTGGGTTACGTCAAAAAGTCAGGTATTTAATGAATTCAATTTCATTAGCCGGCCACGCGTTTATGCAAACATGTCCCAGAGGCAGATGACATAAACAATTCTGCCACCCCTGCACTCCACTTTCCAAGCCTCTTAGAAATACCTCTCTGAAAACTGAGGTTAATCAAACGCTGCTGCCTGATAGTGCTGCATGCAGAGTATCCTGCTCTTTGCAACAATGTACCTTGGCAAGAGTTGCTTCTCGGCTCTCGCTACCACAAACCAAATATAGGCCCAGACAGAGTGTGGATAATTTCTGATTGAAATAGAACCCAACACTGTGGAATTGCAGAGGTACATTGTTGTATGCCGTGTCAAGCACACCATAATCATTAAGCTCTGGAAAGTTACTCATGTTCTATACATTACAAGGGATTGATTCAGGGCTAAATGTCTTATATAAGTATTATGCAAATCAGGGACCACATTTCATTTATTTTTCCAGTCATTTAGTTTTCAGTGTCAGGAAAAAAGCAAAAAACATATTTAACAGAAAATTACTAAAAATGACAACTTTCGTTATTGTGTCCATATTTTACCTTTTTTAGTTTCTTTTCATTATTTTTTAGGGGACTTTTTTCCAGTTTTTCAAAGAAATCTGCAGGGATATTTTTCCACACATGTAAAGTTCAGTCTTGGAAACTGGTTGCATTTTCCTCTTCTCATGATCCAAGCAACCCCAAACACATGTAATAATGTTGCGGTCTGGACTCCTTTCAGTCCCACAGTCTTCTCACAGGATGAACAGAAACACCTGTGGGCTTTCAATTTCCAGATCTAAAGTTGATTTTCTCCCCTCTCTCAAAGACAAAGCACTATTTATCAGATAGGAACAGTTTTGGTGGTCTACCAGATCTGGTTTTGTAAAGGGATGCTTTTCTCTTATTTTCGTTCTTTATAAAAGTGGATTATCGTCTATCTAATCCCCTCAGAAATATCTCCTGAAAATGGACAACTTTTACTTAACGGTTGTTTTGAATGTTAATTAAATAAAGTATGGGTAGTCTCAGACTGTAAAACGTTTAGGTAGTACTGATCTTGCTGTGAACTTATTGTAACATGGTGTTGTTTTTTTACCTGGAGAGTTGGGAAGTTCTTTTCCAGATCCCCCCAGCTCAGAATCCACACCTGGTCATGAGACTTGTCATAATGGAGTTTTACTGGAACCCGGTCCGTGTTCACTGTCTGCAAAGAACAAAATAAAAGTGAAACCTCTACAAATCATCAAAGAAAAACACATAAGGCTATGGAGCTTGACTGATTATTATTTCTTTTATTTATTTATTTATGTATGTATGTATGTATGTATGTATGTATTTTTATTGGCCATTCATTAAGCTACCAGATTCATATAACGAAAATAAGTTCCTTGATCCTTGGCTTGTTCCAGGCACACAGTGCTTGTGGGCTTAAAATCATTATAGGCCTGCCCTTCACCCTGGCTGTTTAAACACTCTTCACACTTTCTATTTGTTTAGGAGGCCACTCAGCCTAAAAAGAAAGCACACATCTTTCTTCTAAAAGAACAGATGGAAGGTTTTTATGAATTCAGTGGGTTCAGTTACAGGGCCATATTTCGTAATGGAGCACTGTCAGTAACAATTGTTCAGCTACTCTGGGATAATTGCTCTCAGTCTGTATCCATTTCCTGTCACCCGCTGAGGGATTTTCTTTACTGAAAAATGAATAACTGGTTTTGAAGTGAAAAGGCCTTTTTCATGAATTTCACACATCTTGTCATGCAAACACACACACACACACACACACACACACACACACACACACACACACACACATATATATATATGGAGAAGGAAAAAACATACTTTACTTTTAATGTAAATCAATGGAACCAGAAGTCATTTTGGGTCGTTTCTTTTGGTCCATTTATCATGAAATTTACACACAATGTAAACAACAACAGGACTTTTCAATTCATGTCAAAAATAGACAGACGACAAAAATGAATATATATATATATATATATATATATATATATATATATATATATACATAGAGAGAGAGAGAGAGAGATAGAGAGAGAGAGAGAATGTTATCACAATTCAGATGAGCATTAGACATTTATTTAGTATCCTACTGACAGCATTTATACAGCTTAATTTGACCGTGTCTAGCATTACAGATGGGTGTGAGAATGGAGAATGTGCACACTTCTCATGAAGGATGAAAAAGGTTCAGAGTTTGTTGACTCAGACTTCAGTCTCCATGCATGCGGTCATCAGGGAGAACAGATGTGCACATTGTGCTTCGGTTCCACTACATCTCTCTCATCCTTCGGAGGATTAGCCTGGCACTCACAGAGACTCTTCTCCACATATGAACTCTAATGCTCAGCACTAGCCAGTCTTTGCTTCCAAAGTTTCCCTATTGCTTATCCACAAAACCTGTGGCTTCAGAAACACCATCTACCCTTTTCAATGTGTGAACATTTCATAATAAATGGACTGATGAATGGTGCATAATTACTTGGAATAAAATATTGCTATGTCAACATAAGGGTTAAGCAATATGACAGTATGTTACTATTGTTGTGATAAATTACATAATATTCTATATAATAATAGGAGGACACCATGAGTATCATTAGTACTTCTACAACAATGAAACAATGCATTAATCAAAAAAGACATATTTATACCAATTATATAAAGCTTGCAGATAATAACTACATTGTAACTGCCTAAACTGCATATTAGAAAATAGCTGATTGGTTGTAATCTTATTACATGATCATGTATTTTTTTAACAGAATGTTTGATTTTTCCTCCTGAATCTTACAAAAAATTTGAATTCCTCCTGAATTTTTGCAAAAAATAAATTACAAATTCAAACTTGTTTTTGTTTTCTGGTGCACTTTGTTCATTTCACCTTGATAGCAAACCGTGAAATACTGTGATATTATTGTGCATCATGAAAATGCCATCAAATCTCATGATGTTCTATTTTTGACCTATGTTCCACCCTTATGTTAAAAGCATATTAATGTTCATTAATGTAAATATTGTTTTGCTTGTGAGCCTGTTTTAATTATTCTCCAATACACTGACTTATTTAGTGGCTGACCTTCCCCATTGGCTCAGAAGCTTCCAGGGCTGGCCACCTGAGTGACTGTACATAAGGCTGCAAGGCTTCCTGGGCTGCCATTGTGACTCCACACCTCACCCACAAGGATTCCTAGCCTGACCACCTAAGCAATTCTTTATTAAAGCTATAACACTTCTCAAGTTGGCTGCCTAAACAACTTTACAGCACAGCTTGAAGGGTTCCTGGGCTGGCTCTACATTACAGCTACAATGCTTCAATACAAGGCTTCCTGGGCCGCCTGTGTGGCTCTACATCATGGCTCAGAGGCTTCCTGGACCGGCTGCCTAAGCGGCATTACATCTTGTCTCGGAAGCTTCTGAGGTCGGCTGTGGAGAGAGACTACATTGCGGCCACAAGGTTTCCTGGGCCGGCCACTTGAGTGACTCTATATTTTGGCTTCTAGGCTTCCCAGGTTGTTTGACTCTTGCAGCCAAGGTCGGCTACCTGAGTGACTCCGCATTGCAAGGTTTCCCAAGCTGAGAGGGACCTTCCTCTGCAGCTAAGAGCTATTTCCAGGCCAATCATTAGACTCTGCACTGTGGTCTGTGTAGTTTTCCCTCTGCCCATTGGGAAACTGTGTCAATGTGTGTGTGTTGTGGGTTGTTTTTTGTTGATTGTGTATTTTGTTACTGCTTGGATTCAAATTAAAATAATAAATAAACACTTTCGCTACAAAGTTAACATTTTGAAGATTTGTTATAATAGCAATGATATACAAAATTAAATACAGAATCAAAATGGAAAAACTATAAATACATTTGGTCAGGAGAAAATTGAAAGATTCTAACATGGCTTGGTTAGTTTTCTATTGCGCAAATGGGCAAATGCTTGAAGCGCCTCCCTGTCTTTCAGTCTCTGCTGGATCAGGTGGCTAATTAGCACCTGATAATCGGAGATAATGAAGCCAAATCTCCAGGTGATGAAATAACGAGCATGCGACTCCAATGAGCTACCGCCTCTGGAAGCCTGGCCAAGGGAGTAGGAGAAAGGGAGGGAGAGAGAGAGAGAGAGAGAGAGAGAGAGAGAGAGAGAGAGAGAGAGAGAGCGAGAGAGAGAGAGAAAGAGACACCCGCTGGCACCAATCAGGGCGTTGGCCAAGAGAGACAGCCAGATTTATCTGCCTGACACATCTGCCAGGTTCCTGCCAACCCCCTTCTAGCCACCCAGGTATTGCCAGTGAGTTTCTAGCAGAAAAGCATTGGTGATACCCTGAAGCAGGCATCTCAGAAGCTGCTGACTTGACTGACATTCTGAGACTGACCTGCTGCTCTTGTAGGCCATAAATCACATGTTTGGCCAGAGTAACTCGACCCCTTTCTTGCTCTGGAACTCCTCCCTTTCCCCAAGTACTCTCAACAAGCTGTCTAGCACGAAGCATTACTTCTGCTTATTCCGGCGCATGTTTTGAGATTTTGTCAAAAGCTTCAAATTTCAGGAAATATTCACGCTCAGGTTTTTGCCTGAGCAGTGCCAACTTCTCTGGGTTTTCTTTAGAAACCTGACACTTCAGATTAAAAGCCAACCAATCCTGAGAGCAGACAAGTTTCTGATTAATGCGATCTGCTCCAAACATGGGGAAAAAAATCCTTTGGTACGAAAATGACCTTGCCATCGCTGTGGTGTCCCTTGTCTAGACAACATAGTGCTAAATTTAGCTAGGCACTAGCCGCTAGCAGAGTCTCTCTCAAGCTTAGAAGCCACCCTCTTTGTCTCAATAGACAACAATGGATATGGATGTAAACAGGCTCTCGGAAAAGACAGCAAATGGATCTTTCAACTCAGCACAAACGTATCTGAGTGCCAAACAAGCATACAAAAGCACAAAGGCTGGAGTTTCCAGCCTACAAAACAAGGGTTTTTGTGTTCTAGAGAATGGGGGTGGGGGTTGAGGGGGGGGTATAGCATCACAGAACCACAAAGACCATGATGAAGGCTTGGACAAGTCAGTCAGCCTTTGTTCAATCTGATACATATCAGTGTACTATTCTTTTAAAATGAACAGCAAAGTTCTGATGCATCTGAAGAACCTGGTGCATGAATTGAATCCAGTTATGCTGGTGAGTACTTTTGAGTTAACCCAAACAAGTCACTCAGGATGGCTGAGGGATGTTTTGTGGTTTGCGCTGGCACTGAGAACAGGACATGGCATGATTACTATGGAAATGAAGCACTTGCACTAAGTACAAGAACCATCTAAAATTGCCCTGGGTGGCATGAGGAATGGTGTTTGGGCTGAAATGAGCTCATTAGATGTTACAATATATCTGGGAGAAATATACAAAATGATATGTAGCAACAAGCGTACACTTTAAAGTCTCTCAGTACATGAATTATGCAAGGAAATGGTGTTTCTGGTATCGAAGGACCACTTCCCACTGCAGCTTCATTAGATAAACTGGAGACAAAGTCTGAAATACGCTCCCAGAATACTGTTCGTAGAAGTAGTTATCATTGATTTGCTGGCTTACTTGAACAGCCTTCTGAGATTGGATGTCTACGATCAGCACTCTGTTCAGCAGCGGCTGGGTGGCATAGATGAACTTATCCTTCACGTTCACTGCCGACGTCCACACACACTTCTGTTCTTCCTCCCCCTCCACTTTTGGACAAACTTCCTCCTTTAAAAACAAACAAACACAGAAAGAACAGACCATGTCATTGTAATTTACCAGATGTTACAGACTTCACTGAAAGCTGAGCCAAGAAACTCTCTTGTGAAGAAAGAGCTCTCAGAATATCACTGTGCAACATATGGTGTAGCGTAGCTCTCCATGGCCTCAGTGGGTTTAGCTGAAGTGGGCATTAAGGCCTGTGCATTGGACTCAGGAGAGGCCACATGCGGATTTGAAAATCTGCATCCCATCTCTAGGACTGCACTTTTAAATGAGCTGAAATAGCAAAAAAAAAATGTCTATATCTGCTACTCATATGTTGATAACTTAGAAAGTATCTATTTGTGGGATAGTTCCCCAAAGCCAGATTAAACATAAACCTGTCTTAATCCATGTCCAGGAAACTGACCTTTTGTCAGAGTATAAGTAAATAAGTATAAAAGAATATAAACTCTGCCCACAAATGCATTCTTTTGTAGCAACTGTTGTGAAGCTGGTTAAGCTTTACAGAAATACACCATAATGAACTATAATGAGAAGTGTTAGTGAACTTTGTTTAGGGTCACTATATAACACAGAGTTTCCAGTTTAAAAAGCTACTCTACCAGAGGGGAACCATTGAAACTTGTTATTTTAAATGTATTTTTATTTAACCTAATCATTTTGCTTGTTGTATTTCAATCCTGCATGTGTTTTTGTAATATGCATATTTTATTGTGTTTTGACTGGGAAAAAGACGGGTTAAATTCTTGCAACAAATCAGGATCAACATAGATCTAGGTAGGTACAGCCAAGCAAGCTCTCTCATTGGTTTGGACTTCAGGAACTGAACTAAAAGCCTAAAATGTCAGATTAACCATTAATAGGAAGCAACAGTGGAATCAACTAATCACATTTTGATTATGTGAGAAAAAAAAAAGAGAAAAACTTGACCTTCTGAAAGTCTGACATATGACTCTAGCTGAAGCAGTCTAAGCAGGTTTCAGTTAGAAATGGAACCTCATCAATGTGGGTCATCATGAAACTGAAAGCTTCAAACAGACTTCTGAAGTCATGCATCACTCTGTATTCAGCACCATGCTCATATTAGTGACGGTGGGTCTACACTAGATTTCTTTATGACAAAAATGAATGGGATTTTTGAAAAATGCTACAATCACACCTGTGACAGCTTGCTTTTTTGTGTGGGGAATTTTGGTGAGGTTTCTAGTCTTGTGATGTCAATTTAGTGTGCAGCAGTGTAACCCTGCATGTTGTCAAATTGATATCTTGACTCATTAACAACCTCATAATTCAGAGAATTCTGTGACACTCAGAGGGAACATGTACATAAGTAATAATGGAACTATTTTGTGTACAACAGGGTGTGATTGGCCATTTTGTGCCACAGAGGAATCCAGTTTAGACCCAGAATTCCTAAAATGAGCATAACGACTACAAAATGAAGACATGACTTTAGTGATTTATAAAACATGAAATATCTTTTACATGCTTCAAATGTTCATGTTTAATCTAGATTAGCCAAAAAATGTTTATGTGAATTGTCTTTAGTTTAGCGCTAACATACTACTAGAATCCCGTAAGCGAGCTAGCAGAAATTATCATTATCTTAAAGATGTTCTTGTCCCTTGATTTTGACCAGCTGAAAGTCTAGCCCTAATATCCATGGTTTGACACTGTACGCAACTATGATGAGTTATGTCGTTGCATCTAATCTAGACTAGGCCAACAGTACAGTGTTTGTTACCATGTTGTAATTAGCTCTATTACACTGTCGTAACAGTGTGACTTTTCACATGCATATAAAAATAACATTTGAAATGAACAACACAATCTAAATATAAGAAGATAGGCAAAACTGCAACTTCACATTAGGTTCAACGGGATATTGGCCAACATTTTGTAAAGCTAATCCAACCAAAAGTTGTTATAATAGAACACATTTGTTAGTGGAGCATAGATGTCACAGTTAGCTGATGCTAAAAAAAAATAAGAGTTCTCAAAAATCAATGAGGCAGTTGCTGATTTGCCCCCCTTTGACTAAGAATCACAAGATCCTTCTGCTTTTCTGGAGTTAATATGATTACTGAACAACACTCAGTGGTGCAAATCAGCGCAGCTCCTCCAAGTGCACTCCTCACCACCCCATGGGTCAGTATTTAACTTGAGATAACAAGTACCATTGTTTCAAGCTGAGGTTTCAAAGATTAACATGAGACTTGATAGCCCTGACTGAGCCTGACTGCACTTGAGCGACCCGGTTGCCACGGGAGACAGCCTCTCCTTCACACTTCACTGTGGTCATCAGACGAGTGAGTTCTCACCTCTTTAGCGCAGGAGCATACAGCCCTAGGCCCACAACCCACTCTGTAACACATCTTACTGTGTCTGCCGCCATGGAGACCAAGCTGCCCATGGTCAATCCACTTGCAATTACTCACTGCCTACCTGCATGCTACTTAACTGGCCCAATGTGTGATAATTGCTTTAAGAAGTTCAGGGCCTCTGTATTCATACAGAGTTCAAATTGGTCAGTAAAAGAGGCCACTGTATGAAAACTGAAAAAGAGGCTTAAAATGATAAGACCCTGAGCAAAAGACTGTATGCATTTAAGGTCTTCTAATGTTGAAATAAAAGGGATGCAAGTTTTTAAGGCCTTAGAAGCTGCAGTTGTTGCTGGCAATAACAAAAGCATGACGTAATTTCATTTTACATATTTCTCATTTGTAGCTCTCTGAACCAAGTGGAGAAATTATGTCAATAATGCAGATTCTATACATTTATAGATGGCTTATTGATGGCACATCTGTGTTTTTAAGGAGAAGATGGGACGTTCTATTTTATGAAAAGTTATGCCATCTTATTTTGTGGGAAATACAACCAGCCTTCACATTTTTAGGACATTCTTGTTTAATTTATGTCAAATGATAATAAATCAGAGGTACAGGTTCAAACCTCCCTGCTGAAAGAAACAGACTAGCATGGATTCATGCTGGTCTAAGCTGGTTTACACTGGTTTATGCTGGTCTGGTGATTGTTAAGCTGGTCACCCAGCATGACCAGCTTACAAAACAGAACATAGGCTGGTTTTGCTGGTGATAGCGTATTAACTTCCATTGCGACTGACCAGCATCACCGCATCCAAAACACAACATATGCTGGTTTTGCTGGTAACCTGCCATGCTGGTCTATGCTGTTTTTTCTAGCAGGGATGTTGAAACAGCATGCAAATGAAATGATTTCATTACATGTCACATGTAATTATAATTTATTAGACAAGTAATTATGTTTAACAATGGATGTTTCATGCTGAAAGATGTCCAAAAATTCAAAATCATTGTTTTAATGAATGTCCCCCTGCCAGTGTGCCACATTTGGTGCTATTCAATTTGTCTTCTCGCCACTCAGCCTTTTGGCATTGCTGTATTGAATTAAACCGAGAACCAGACCACAAAATGCTTTAGTAAGTTACATGTGGCTTGAAATTTACACTGAGAAAGGCAGTCATTTAAGATAAACAGACAAGTGTTAATCCTCTATCACCTCAGCTGCGTTACTAGCCTCATCTTTTTCACCTCACAGCCTTTAGTTCAAAAACACTGAGTTTGTGAAGAGTTAGTTAGCTGATACCTACTGGGGGTAAAACTAAACACAATGTTAAAAGTTTAGGTCTATTAAATTTACGTGAGTAGCATGTAAAAATGAACTGGAACTTTCATCAACTCTCTCACTGTAATGCGTTCTATGTAGCTGTGCTTTATACTGAACTATGCGTGGTGCGATGGGGAGCAGTGTGTCTGGTGTGCAATGGCCTTTAGAAGTCATGGTATTGCTTTTAATACTGTACTATTACTAGACTTTGGGGTAACACTTGGATTGAGTAACATAAGGTTTTTACAATTTATTAGCTATTAACAAGCAATTAACAGCCTGGTAATATAGAACTATATCATTTGTAAGCAAATTTAGAAATGTTCCAAAAATGATTTATATATGTTAATAAGGTCCTCTATAAAGTAAGCTATTAACTGTTGTTGACTAATAAGTTAAATGCTAATTGTGAACACTTGAATACTGTAATTTTACAGTAACTTACAATGCACACACATTATCTAAGCCACTTATCCTTCTGGGTCACTGGGGGGGTGCTGGAGCCTATCCCAGCGGTCACTGGACGGAACGCAGGAAACACCCTGAACAGTCTGCTAGCCCATTGCATTTTGCTAAAAAGTCTAGGAGCTAATGTCCATTTATAACAGTTTATGATGTCTAAATGTATACTATGTTTCAAAGCTTGCTTACAAATGACATGGTTCTATTGACTGTTGTATTGTACTGTTAATTGCTTGCTAATAGTTTAGTAATCATTAAGAAGCAGACCTGGCTTCTTAAAACCTAAGAATAGCTCAGCTGGTTTGCATTGAAGTCCCTGTAGTTACTGAATAATAAGCCTTTGTATATGATAAGCCTGAGATTAAGGGGTTAAACAGTAGCAAAATGGCACTAATACCTCTAGATTTTAAAAGTTACAAAGCTAGGGAGCAACTCTACTGACCGTCCTTTCCCTGCTCTCTCCCACTATACCGCTGCTAACAGTAATGGATTGTTCACCACCTTCATGATGTATTAATGCACATGCATTTGCATGTGGGAAGCAGAAGCAGGAAACATCAGGGTCACGGCCCATAAGCAGAGTTGAGAAGAAACGCTGTCGTAATGCTTCTTTAACGTTCCTCCCTAGACACCGTTTGTGTTGAGGCCTGCCATTATATCCTGACATGTGACTGATGTCCTAATAAACGCCCAGAACCTCTCGGGAAGCTGAGGGAGTCAGGCTCTGCATTCACACACGCTCGTGCCAGCACCACACTCATGCTGCTGCTGCTGCCTCATCAACGGCCAGAAGAGGGTAAAACGCTCATTAAAGAACATGTGTAAATCTCCAGCCATCTATCAGCCACTCTAAATTGTGAAAGATGGAAGAGATGGAAAGAGAGAAAACTCATTTATATCAAATATGAAGATCCAGATTCATTACATCATTGCCTCATGGGAGTTTCCAGCATCCCTGTTCACTGGAAGCTCATTGTTAATTAGATAGAGTTGAAACATCAGTTATGACAGGGCCAAAGCTTGTGTCAATTTTTTGTGTGTAAACTTGAGGCAAGGGGAAAAACACCAGCAGCGTGCTGGGCAATCCAGGCAAACTGAAGGTCTCTCTACATGACTCTACAGAAGACTGGCTGGTACCACTAGCCTCTAGGAAAACAGCTTTCAGAGTAAACCGAGCGTTCTCTCTCTGGACTTATAAATCACAACCCTTAATCTCTCCTTTATCCTCATTCTCATCCTTGAGCCTTCACAGAGGGCCAGACGCATTAAGTCTTTTGTGGCAGATTTCAGGTGTTTTAGGTGCAAATAGAACTGATTCTGCCAGGAAAGGCATGCATCAACACTAACACTGTTTGCGTCACTGGTGCCAGCACATTATATATTGTCAACCCACCACCACCACACGTTTTCACTGAAGTACAAAGTGAACCACCTAAATAACATCTGGTCAACAGTGGCCCTTTGGTGGTCCTTTTCCATTGATTGATGAGGTTCAGCTACAGATGGATTACAGAGAGTAATTGTAAACCTATGATGTACACTTTTATTGTGTTTCTGATAAAATGGCCAATGGTCCTGTGGTATTCCTGTTCTTTTGTACACCAAGAACACTATTGTTCCAACATAATAACCCTATTTTAACTGTCAGAATGTAAGAGTTTATCTAGCGACACCTATGCCACTAGCCTTTATGTTTATTGTTCTTAAACTTTACTTATCACTATAGAATGTTTTAGTGTTGGCTGCTCTGTTATTTCAGTGCTTTAAGTGCTTTTTAAACCCAGCATTTTACAAATGTTTTTGCCTTCTGAAAGTTCATTTAAGATGCAGTGCATATTAAGGTCATGTCAAGGCACATTTTGTGCTGTGCTTTCTCACATATGTATGTCTGGCCTTAAGTGTCTTAAAATACTTTACTGACATTGAAGTTGAGAAATCTAAACTAGGGAACTGCTGCAAGCGATTAATTTCATGTTTTAATTGTAAAAAATCCCTGAAAAACAATTCTGATCTAGACCATTTTTGCCTTATGTACATAAACACTAGCTTGAGTCGTCATCTATAACATGTTTGCACATATTTATGTATTATTAATGCATGCACTGCTCATACTGCATTGAAGCTAGTGACCAAACACTAAAACTACCCAAGCATATGAAACTTATTCTCTATAATTCTACACAGATCAGAAATCTAGAATTGGTGAAATGAAAGTAATTTTGTAAACACTGTTTGGAGAGCATCACTCAAACCTGATTAATTCAGAGTCAAGAGGGTGAAACAGAGGGCTTTTCATATTTCGTAATGCCTCCTGGTTTATGAGGCTGCTCACCTGCAGACCGAGAAGCTTCTCGCTGGGTTTGATGTGCCTCTGGATCTCGCAGGCCACCGGCTGGATGACTTTGATACCGTCCTCGTAAAAAACGTAGAACATATTACCAATCCCCAGACCTGGAGTGGGAGAGAAATGCCCACGTTGGGCAGCAAGGTTCATTTAAAAAAGTCTCAGCCACACTAGAAGATATATGGAGTAAACAACATAGGCCGAAAATTTTAATACAACAAGATTTCTTAAAAAGAAAGAAAAACAGATCTGAGCATTATCAACACTGAACCAAATCTCAAATTGAATGGTCAAGCTTGAGAAATATGAGAACATTACACACCTTCCTCCCTCCAGAGAATGTTTGCCACTATAAGAGAAGAGAGAGGGAAACATGAGAGGACAGAAGTAATTTCGTTGTAGAAACCTTCATCTGCAAAGTTGCACAAATCCTTTTTTCCAGGCAGCATATTCAGGCAAAGTTGCCAGTTTATTAGGGATTAGGTACCTTCACCATTTTATCCGTTAAACCTAACATATTGGTGCACTTTGTAGGTTTACAGCTACTTACTGTGTTCCAACTTGCATTGAACATGCTGCACAACCACCACCTAACAACCCCACCTAACACTAATACACCTGAACCTGCCAATCACACAGTTAATTAGCTGGAGAAGGTGTGGCAGACTGTGGTTGGAACTAGATTCCTCATAAAAGTATCTCCAGGATCACCGCAGGTGTCCCCATCTATCAATGGAAAGGTACCACCACAGGACCACTGCTGACCAGATGTAACACAGGTGGGGACACAGCACAGCAGTAACATTAACATGGTAGGAACATGTTAGTTTGTGTTTAGTTGGTACAAATATGAGGCATAGCAGAATGCTGTGGATATTACGGGGTTAAGAACAACTGCCAACCAAATGAATCCTACCAACTGTGGTCCTGTGGTCAGCAACTGAGCTCTGATGGAGGGTAGAAGATGACTGACACAAACTGTGTGGAAAGGTGTATAACTGTAAACGTATCAACAAAGTGGTTGTAAAAAAACTGTCTTAATAACTATTTAAATGACTATTTTTATCACACTTTGCAAAAAGATTTCCTACTTAAAATGAAGCCGATATGTCAACTTATTATCCTGGGTTGAGTCAAATTTGGTGATAAAATCATATTACTAGATTAGATTCTATTAGGTTTACCCAACATGAAATATTTCGCACAGGTAGAACAGGACTCTTAAGAATATCAAACATAATACACAATAAAATATCTGTCATTATGCAAAAATCTGAAGCATCCTTCTACAGTTCAGAATTCCATAATGTGCAAATATTAAGTCACATGGCCTGTGTCACATTAATAGTTGTATGCAGCACATGGAGTATCCTATACATCCTATGATACATGACCCAGTTGTGTATTTTTTGGCTTTGTATTTATGCAGAGGTTCACATGGCAGACTGGGGTTTGATTCCCTTCCTTAGCAAAAGACGCTATACAAATAAGAGTCCTTGGGCAAGATGACTAACGCTACATCAGCCTACCTCTGTAACATGCTTAAAGTCATAAATCACTGTGGATAAGAGCATCTACAACTACCTGTCTATCTGTTTACCCTCTCCTCCCACCTGGCAGGCATTACAGGAGCCTCTGCTTCTGCACCAGCAGGCTCAGGAAGAACTTCTTCCCTGAGGTTGTGACCCTGCTGAACTCCACACTTTAACTGCATCTTTGCACTCACTGCACTGTTACTGTACTTTGTCCTAGTATTATTGCCTTAATCATATTTGCACAGTCTATTTCTGCATTATTCACATTTGCACAGACAGTTACTGTACATGCTTTTATTCTGCATTCTTATCATTTTATTTAACAATCTACAGTCCTTAATTATATGTATTGTAACCACTTCATCACTTACCACAGTTACTTCCTCGCAGTTCACATATAAGTAATACTGTATTTTCCACTTCTGGTTAGATGCTAAATGCATTTCATTGGCTCTGTACTTGTACACTGCACAATGACAATAAAGCTGAATCTAATCTAATCTAATCTAATCTAATCTAATCTAATCTGCCAAATGACTTAAATCGTGAGTGGGGAACTTAGGGTCAGAGTGCAGCACAATTTGGCAATTTCCCTGCTCTAGCACATGACCCACACCTGGTAATTAACTGAAGAGTTCAATCAGGTGTTCTTGACCAGGAAAATCGTCAATATGCACTGGAATCTGGCCCACCAGAACTGAAGTTTCCTACCCCCTGTCATGAAATGGAATGTTAAAGAAGAAATGTTTTGAATAGTTGTACTTCTATGTGACAAACATTCTAAAGTTATTTTAGTTTGGTTTAGTACTGATAACCAAATGCCACACAGTGTATCCAAGTCAGGGGTTGGCAATATGCAGCTCTGGCTCTCTTCTTCCCTGTTGCAGCTTTACAGCAGAAAAAAAATTTTAGGTGAAAATATTCCTCCCTTGCAGTAAAATGAAGGTCTGCTGATCATTCTAACACAGGTTTAACAATAAATAATCTCAAACGCTGTAGTTAATGTAGCCTATATCTGCTAATTATACTAACCCTGAAGGTTGGCACGCAGACTGTTGGTCACACAGCAACACAGATAACAGTCTCGCCTAGCTAGTAGCTAATGAAATGGCAAAGGAAACGATCTAAGATGAACATTAAAAATTTAGTGACAAATGGATTTATTTGCCTTTATAAGCACTGAAAAGTCTCAAAGCAGAAGTCAGCTTGTCATTCGCCAGCTTTGTGTTCAAATTTGCCCGTTCCACCTTAAATGGTGCAGCAGTTACATTCTGGCGCTTCAGGCACCATTTAAGATGGAACGGGAAAATTGGAAAAAGGAGCAGGCGAATGAGAAGCTGACTTCAGCCTTGCACAAAGTCGAACGTCAAGAGACATTTTACAAGAAATTGTTCCACATTTGTGGAAAAGTTTCCAGCTGGAGATGCGAGAAAAGCAGCTATATCTGAGCTAAAGCTTAAAGCAGAGCAAAGTAAATCTGCATTTTTGTTTATATTATATATTTTAATCTATCTTAGTACATTAGCACATACTGAGACACATTTACAGCCAAGATGGTGAAAATGGACATAAAGTGTTGTGGCTCCCAAGACGGTTTGATTTTTGGTCAAAGGACAAAATGGGTCTTCTTAACATTTGGGTTGCTGACTTTTAAGTATAGACAGAGGAAACAAGAAATAGCTAGTGGAAATTATTTTTTTGTACTCAAACTTTTTGCAGTGCGATCATTTTACATAGTTTGTCTGCTGTTCCTATGCCATTAAAAATTCTGGCTAATTCTGGCTAATCTGTAATATATATATATATATATATATATATATATATATATATATATATATATATATTACAGATTAGCCAGAATTAGCCAGAATTTTTAATTCCACGATGTTCTCAATGTTCGCTTTTATCTCCACATAGTAGAATTTAGGTTAGATATGGCTGAAGTAATAACAGGCTACTCTGCAATCTCTTCTCAAATGTTATCAATATAGTGCTAACATATTACAAGGTCAGCTCGCTGGGTCTGAGCACACGTGTCCACGTACATGTGGACATATATAAAGTTTTTTTTTAACTAATTTCTCAGACTCTCTATGTAACTCAGTGGTTGAGCTACAAACAAAGTCATTCAGAGAAGTCTGATTGTAAAATGTTTTCTACTTTGCTTTCTTTACAGTGGTGGTGATAAGAATTGGGTGTTATGATCTCTATGTCAAAAACATAGCCGGGTTAGTTGCTAAAACCACCAGTGAATCTGTAAGTCTTCTGAGTTTTTATAAGTAATCTTGATGATGGTAAAATAGAGGGACATTTTAAAAAGGAAGTTCATTCGGAATCTTTTTTGCCCTGCACATTTGGGAGGTACGTCTGGTTTCTGTCATCACCACTGTGAACAATTTTTCGGAAATTATACCAAAATTCCCCTTTAAGCATTTTGCAACAGTTCTTTATGTCTGCATCACAAACAGGATGAAACACGAGAACTCTCACATTTAAATCAATAACACGAACTGCTAATAATTTAAAACCTATAAAATTAGTCTCACAGCTATCAGTTGTCTATGAAGCATGAAGAGAAGTGCTCTGCACAATTAACTCTCAAATAATTCCCAAAGCACTTCAGCGCAGGATTAACGAGCTTTTCCACTTCCATAAAGGGGAAGGATCTGCTCATGGCTCCAACTTCTAAAGCTTCATCATGAAGCATGTGGCCATTTTCCAGGAAAACAGACACAACAGATGTGCCATTATTATTTATGGATGGCATTTGTCAGGGCAACGTGCTACTGATGAATATGCCTCATTATCAAAAAATGACCGCTACATTAACGCCCATAATGGCTCCAATCACGACTTCTTCCTTTGTGATGGCGCTCTCTTCCAGATTGCAGCGACATGACCTCAAATGCTTTCTCACCTTTCTCCTTCTGTCTAATTCTCTTCCTTCCTCTATCGCCCAGCAGTCTGCAAAGCAATCTCCCCCAGTTCACCCCTGATTCTAATCTCACCCACAGTATTCTCTCGCCGCCTTGTTCTAGAGGTGCCCGAAGACTTGAAGAGCCAGCTGCACTAACTGAAAGTGCTGAGCCTTCATTTATACACATTTGTGAAAACTTTCTTTTTTTTTCAAAATCGAGTTCATTAAAAGTAACATGAGACCACCAGAGATAAAAAGGAGATATTAAAAGCGTGAGAATGACTGTTGGGAAAACGCTGTGCTTCTTCAGTGCGTGTAGCCAGCAGGGAGTCAGATTTTAAAAGATGAGATCTGTGCAGGTCCAGTCTTTTCCAATAACGCTGGGTATTGATGCTATTCATCACCAGGCAGGGAGATTGGGAGAGTTCTGATCATATACACGCCTCATATATCACACTGCTGCTCATCCATGTTGGGGGGCAACAAGAGTGGAGCCACTTTGAGTCTGACCTGGTCTGAGAAGCCGTGTTTGCCAAAAACAGATGCTGCCAAAATTTAGTTTTGAAAGAAATTAATAATGTTTGTAATATTTCATTAGTTACAATAAATGATGTAAATAAAATAATATTTCATAAAATGATACCACTATTTCTCACAATGAAACTGCTTTTAAAGATTTATTTCTAAATGTTTTAAACTTAGTGTTATTATCTTAAGTAAATACACTGTTGTTTTCTCAGTACAGGTAAGCATTATAATTCTCTTATTTTTCAGCTGGCACTTATTACTACTTTATTAAGCAATAACTACAATAAAATAAGCACTTTCCAGAGCAAATATTTCACACATCATTTTAAACACCCATTATTTTGCCATTATTAAGCCTAATCAAGCCAA